AAATAACAATAATGATAATAGCTATGGAGCTCCAACCTAAACAAAAAAAAAATGGATAGTTTCCAAAAACGTGGAAAACCCTCTCGAATATGAAGTATATTAGTGATATATTTAATGTATCAGTAGTTACTTATAGTAGGTATATGAATTACATAAGATATATACTTAAAATAAAGATATTATCTCCTCCATTGGACAATCCAGTTGACAAGGATTTGAAATCTCTTGGTTATACTAGTCTACAGGTCTCATGTTCGAACTTTTTAGTGAGTTTAATACCAAAAGTCCTTGATGTCTCCTGGAGTCCGGGTCTCGGAGCAGGCACGGGTGCCCCTAGGTATATGGAGGCAAAACTCTGACTCTCATTTTTCAAAAAATAAATAAATAAAAATAAAGATATTATTGATATACTTGATATATTAATAAAAAATTTACAATTTTACTTAAGCGAAACATTTAATCCAAAGAAGATTTATTAGCGATATATGTAATATAATGTATATCATTTATATATTTGGTGTGACTGGTATGTTTATATAGGCATTTCTTAGTACTCATATTAAGTTATATTAGTTATATACTTAATATTTGGTATATTAATTCTTGAAAATAATAAAGATAAAATTGGAATAACAGAAAAATGAATTTTGATTTTAAATTTTTTTTCATATTTGCAAAACCCAAAAGTTGTTATATTTGCAAATATGGTAAATCTTTTTGCTACCGTTCGAAAATATCTGTAGAAAATTGTGACTTGAAAATTTTCACAATAATTTTCTTATTTTATAAATAAGAAACTTTCCACAAATTAAGAAACAATTTAAATTGTTGAATTAGTTTTTAATAGCTTAACTATTGAATGTGTTGTATCTATTTTGAGCAATTTTGACCTTTGAATTCATAGTGATAAAAATTGCATGGTTTATTTATTTATTATTATTATTATATTTTTTGTGGCTATAAATATATGACTTGACTATGAATATAAAGTAGAAATTATGAGGGAAAACAAATCCTTTCATTTCTCATTGATTTATATTTTTTTTAGAATTGGAAAGACAATATTGACTATTGAATTAAAATATTAGTAATATCTCTTGAAACTGTAGTTTTAAATTTACACTTATTTGAATGTTAATACTCTTTGAAGAAACTATTGGTTATTATTATTATTTTTTTCTATTAAAAGAATCTGTTGATATTACTATTTGTTAATACTCAAAAGAATTTACACTCTTATTTGAACGTTGTTTGACGCGTGGATTTTGACTCTCTGACTCTTCTTCTCGCACACACCAAACTCGATGATAAAGGAACCAATACTTGCAAAATCAAACCGATTTAAACCGGTGTGACTGGTCACACGGACTTCGATACTTAAGTTAGCGAGGGAGAGTTAAGAAAATAGTTAGCTAAGAATCAGTCACCTGCCCCCTCAGGGTTGGATCTCTCTGCTACTTATAGCCGTGAAGATGATCTCAGGCTTGAACTCCTTGTCTCATTTCGGATCGTTCTCAATAACAAATGTTAATACTTTTATAGTCTTATTAGAACGCCAATACTCTTAAAATGTGGATATTTCTTAACATTATTAATATACCTTTTCTGGTTGAACAACTTAAACAAATGGTTTTTGTATTTATTTATTTATTTTTTGTGTGTATTGGGATGGAATATTGAACCTCCGACCTTCAAAAGATGAACAAAATGTCTTAACCGTTGAATTACTCATATTAGTAAAACAAGGGGTTAACGAAGTGATACACTGAAATAATATTTTTTATGAGGTAACGTCTTTTGGATAGCAAATATTTACTTCATCTTGATTAAAAGAAAGTAGGATGAGGGGACATTGAGTAATCATTTTTCAAATGGATTAACTCATAGAAAATAGTAAAAAGAAAATTGTCAAAGCGAGCGTAGTTCAATCAGTAATTAACGTATATCTTCAATCAAAAAATTGTGAATTCGAATCAACTTCTCAACATGTTGTGCTGTAAAAAAAAAAAAAAAAGAAATTTTACTCCTTTTTTCCTAAAGTAAAAGGACAATCAATCATTGTCCCTTCTTCCCAAAGTCTTCCAAATTTTGACACAATTTCAAAAATGTATCTACCACGTCATTAATGGCCTTGAACACTACCAATTGTGGGGACATTAACAAATAATTTCATTGTTATTTTATTTTATTTTATTATTCATAAATTTAAAATATACTTTCTCCTTTGTTTTTCATTCCCAATATACATCAAGATATTAAAAAGTTATGTATTCAAATCATAATTTCTGTAACTAACTTTTATGTTTTTGACCTACTATAATTAGCTTTATTTTTTGTAAAAAAAAAACTTTATTTGATCCAATGTTCATTTATATAATTAACTTCTTGTCTCAAAGTCGAAGGTTCAAATCCTCATACTCCAATTTATTATTACATAATCCTTCTCTTGAAGTCGAAAGTTAAAACTTTCATACTCCAATTTGTTGTACTAAAAAAAATTCAGGTAGATATTAATTAAGATAAATCACAGTAATTGTTAGTACCCAGACATTTGTTAAAGTAAATTATAATAACTAATTGACAAGCATTCTACTTTTTCCATTTTTACAAATATTTCTTTTATTTGTTATTTCAATAGGACCTATGTGGCAACTTTCTTGTTTCTGGCTTTTCCATTTCCTAATTTTTGTTTCTAGTTCCCTCGTTGAAGCCACACTTTCTTGTTCTTTTCTTTTCTTTCTTTAATAAAAAAATAGAAACAGATTTGGTAATTATTTTTTTTCTTGTTCTCGAAAATATTAGATTAAAAAAAAGTAAAAGTTTTATATGAAAATTTAATTTTCAAATTAAATATTTAAAATTTTTATGTTATTTTTATTATTTTTAATTTATTATGCATTTTAAGATAAAAAAAATGATAAAATAATACTTTTATCTACATTTTGGAAAAAATTTTGAAAACAAGAACAAGAAACACGAATAGTTACTAATTGCTCGTTTTTAAAAAATAAAGAAATAAGAAGTAAGAATCGAGAAACAAGAACATTACCAAACGAACTCTTATTTTTCTATTATTTTTCTGAGAAGTTAAGTAATACCTAAACTAATTGAGCTATCCTCCTAAAGGCATCAATATTTTTAGTTGGCCCATATTTTTATTTATATTTTAAAAATCGTATTAAAAGAACATGATTTTGTGGGCATAAATTAGGAAAGAGAAAAAACAAAAATACAACATATATAATATTAGATAATAAGAAAATTCCCTCGCCAAAAGAAAAGAAAAAATAAAAATGTGACAATTTTAAGTGGGACCCCAAGTGACAAAGGACACAAATGGGTGTCCGGTAGCAATCCAGCAAAACCCTTAATGGGCCTGTAATTAACATCTGCAATGGGCCCACTGGCCCACTGCGGGTTGGCCTTTGCATATGGACATCATCTATTTATTGCATATTGAAATTGATCAAAGCTGATATCTAACCTTCAAAAAGTTGGAGCCAAAGAAATTTGATTTCAAAATTATTGATTTATGTCTGATTTTTATGGACCATAGAAAAAATAAAGGATAAGCATTAGAAATGACAAACTTTACCACAGAATTTTTTTTGTTTTTTTCATATAACAAAAATCTCTATTGATTAAATAAATAAATAACATAAGAGATTTAGACTGATTTTTTTAAGCCCTTTCGATAAATATTTTGTTTTCTTGATTTTATTGCTAACATAAACTTAGCTCAAGCACCTAGTTCCTCTCGAGTAGGGAGGTTCAATCCTACCTCGTTCTGCTAAAAAAGTAAGATTAGAAATACTATTTCACCTCTGTTTTCATTTTGTTATCTAATTTCAAATAACAGTTTTAAAATCTAAGTCAAATCTTTCAAAGATTAAAAAAAAAGTTTTAAAAACTTGTTTTAGTTTATGAACTTTCATTAAAATTTTAAATGTATTTTTAAGGAAGATACTAAACATACCCAAAAAAAATCACGAGAAATCAAACATAATTTTTAAAAACAGAAAACTAAAAATTGATTTTCAAATTGATGGTCGTATATTTCTCAAGTTGAGATAATATCCTGCAATAATACATGGTTTCAAAATCACAAAATCAATGCTTGTTGGGAATAATACGGACTCGTTGTCAATTCAAACGAATAACATCTAACTCGAATAACCATATATATGATATAGTCATGACGCAGCGGGATAAGAAATTGTTTTATCAACGAAGATTTTTTTTTTCTCCTCTCTTTCTTGCAGTTATAATAATTCAATCAAAGATGGGAGGATACTAACCACTATTAGGGGATAATTGTGTGCTCCGAAGTCCAAATAGTCACCATCTTCACCTGTAAGGGGATGGATAATCCTATGCTCCAAAAAAAAAAAAAAAAATGAAAGGAATAATTCATGGTGAATATTGTTTGATGTGACAGTGATATATATGGTGCACAATTATGGCACTCTATAAATATCTTCACACACTCATACAATATCTTCACAACACATTCCCTGAAATCATGAACATGTTTCAAAATATATACAAAAAGTTAAATTAAATTACAAATTTATTGCGCAACATTGAATTGAAGTTAACGACAAGAACATTTCTTTTAATATCTGTGAGCGTCCGTGCTAGTTTGTGCGCACATCGACTAATTTTATGGGACAACCGTTTGATCCTATTACATTTGATTGTCCAGGAAACACATACGAGATTAATTTCTAGGTAGATGATCATCCTGGAGTTTGAACCTATTCCCTTTAAATCTTTTTTATTTATCTTGACCCAACTCTAGGAATCTATTAGGCATAAAATTGAAAGTTTAGAGGCTTAATAGATTTTTTTTTTTAATTATAGGAATTAAATATCCAGAACCCTGAAATTCAAACCTGAAAAATTAACTCTTAAAAGAATTTTCCTTGTAAGGGTTGCCTAAGCCTACCCCAGTGCCCCACCCACCCAGAAAAGAAAAGCAAAGAATGTATTATGTAAAGTTCAAATAAGAAAATGATGAAAAAATAGTGGGAACATCCAGGAGGAGAAAAAGGAAGGAATGTGAACCTTTTGTCAAGATAAAGGCACTTTGACCCATACTTTGTTTCTTAATCTGTGAAACCATGTTCAAAATCAAACCCTTTGTATTTCTTTTCCAAACATTTGAAATTCACTCTTGAGCACTCCAAACACAGCCATCTATTTCCAACAATTTTATTTCTTCTCATTCTTTAGTTTTCTATTCCCAAACTTCTTGTTCTTTATGCCAGCATATCCAAATGGCCCCTTTAATGCGAAAACTTGAGGGATGTTCACGGTTAGCGGGTGATAGTTTCCTCGAGATAGCACGAAAGAAAAGAGAAATGCACATCAGATGATTGCCTACATCCATCTCAATTATATCCTATGTACAGTAGCCACAAGTATATGGAACAAGCAACTCTCTCTGTTTGGATGGTTGGTTACTCTACCCATGGATATTGCTCAATTATTGGCCTTTACTCTCACTGGTCATCCCTTCAAAAAGGGGAAACTTTGGCTTTGGCTTCATTTGTTTGGGCCTTGCTATGGACTGTATGGTTGGAACGGAATCAACAAATTTTTCAAGATAGGGAGCGTTCTTCACACCTTTTGTTTGATTCTATAGTTTTCTTAGTTCTCTCTTGGTGTAAATGTTCCCCCTCTTTCATCACTATAGTTTTGCCTCCCTCAATTCTAATTGGATAGAGATCTTTTTTGTAGCCCACTCTTGGGTCCCTCCCCTTTCGTATTCATATTTCATTGATATTCTTTTCAAAAAAATAAATAAACTACACAATCCTTGTTTTGTTTCATTTGGGATTCCAACATATGAGGGATTGGTAAGAATCTTGGACAGAATAAGATGCTAGATTATATAGTGCGGTGATGCAAAGATGTATTTTTCTCTCCAATGGCAAACTGATCTTGAAACCATGTTTCTTAAACCTTGTTTCTAAGAACTTGAAGAAGCTGCAAATAAAAAATCTTGCCTTTTTGATGTATGGGGTGATCTTGCACTTTTAGAAGCCATTTGATTCCTAGGTTGAATTTATATAGTATGGCATCTTAAAGCCAGATTGACCTTTTAGTATGAGAACTTTTTTATCCCATATAAGAGATTTGTTAATTTCTCTAGCTACATAAACCTCGAAACTTTTGAACTACACACTTTTATAAATCATAATCCCACGAACCAAATATGGACTACATAAATTAAGTTTCTATAACTCATTATTCCTAATCCAAACACAAACCATGCAAACTCAAAATATATAGACCAACTTTTTAAAATTGTGAGTCAAACATCCTTTGTAGACAAGAACAAGTCTTTTAATATATTCACCACCTAAAAATTCAATAACGTCAATCCTTTCAGTCTTCTCTCCTCTACCATTTCACCAACAGAACTTTCTAGTCCGCAAAGAAAGGGCATGAGACAGGTAATCTGACATGATGTAGGGACGAACGTTAAGTGTGCCCTAACTCTCATTTGAATTTTAGAAAGATCATTGAAGTTTATTTCTATAAAGATACTGAATTTTATCATTGTACACTAAGAAAAGATTAATCCAGTAGCCAAGCCAAGATCATGCAATAAAAATAAAGAGAACAGAAATTAGGCAGAAGAAAAGCGAAACCATCAGGAAAGAAAACAACAGAAGCGTAGAAATTACAACACCTAGTTGTGAAGCTTGAGTGCATCCAGATTTCTTCTACCAACAGGGCCTTTCGAGTACCATGATGATGTATAGTCTCCATAAATAACTTCGCGGTATCGAACAGGAGAAGACTCTCTCACAAGCTCTGCTGCGGGCGCTATTTTTACTGCCTTTGCTGGATCGTGAAAAGCAGAAATCGAGAGTCTTGCCCTGCTGGAATTTGTAACCACCCTATGTTCTGCACTTTTGCACTTCCCATTAGTTAAAATCTGCATGCAAGAGTGTGCCAATGAAGTCTTTAATTGTCATACTTAGACCCAAATCTTAACAAGTAATAAGAGAAAAGAAGAACTGTATGCAGCAGGAGAGCCAGCACATTAATCAATAAAGCACAAATGTCAAACACATTAAGCAATGACCAAGCCATATAAATTTGTGCAAGCAATGATTATATATTGCTTCTCAAATGCTTAATTGCTAACTTGCTCCCTCACTTCAGTCTTCATTTGTATTGAACAAGAAATCCTGAATTATCATTCCAGTTTATAACTGTAAAATATTGAAGTTTCCTACTACCAGCCATAGACGACAGCTAAAATTTGACAGGGTTGATCTGGGATGGATTATGAATACTTTACTCATCTAATTGGGATAGTAAATCAAGTTTTTATGTCATATATTTCCCTTTTTAGAATTGTAATTTGACTATAATGGCCATTGTATAATATATCCTCAGCATGTGGAACAGATCGTCTCCAAACACTGTTTTAGAAGGTCTGAGAATTTGAAGGGTCTTCACAGCAGCACTGATTTCTTTTTGGTTGAAGATTACGAAGAGTTTTCTTTTTTTTGCCCTTAATTCTTTTATTTAAAGAAGGGGATCCATTTGTAGGTTTGTCTTCTAAAGTCAAAGGATCTGTTTGGTTAGTTAATTTGTGAAGAAAGGGCTATTTGTATATAAGCTCATTTTAGAAGAAAGTTGGAGTTACAAGCTGAACGTGATAGAGAGATTGCTGAAATTCAGGTCAATTATTTTTAGAAATTCAATGTCTTGTTTCCCGAAGATAAAGATGTCTTTGTTGATGTTTCTGATATCCAAGATCCTTAAAGTCTTTGAAATTGGTTCCTTGCAAGTGGGAGGCTCGTTCTGAAAGTAGCAGTATGTTTTTTATGTCGGTTCATCTTTCTTGTTGAATTGGGTTGTATTTCCCTCTTTAGGTTCTTGCTTTCCCTTTTTTTTAATTTATTTTCTTCTGTCCTTTTGGGAGATTGTATCATTTGAATAATTTTATTCCTTTTTATTAATTAATAAGAGGTTCATATCTTGTTGGAAAAAGACAATATTTTAGTACGGGGCATGCTCATCCATGTTTCACGTGAGTTGCCTATTTCTTGTTCTTGCTTGGAAGCTAAAATAAAAACACCAGCTAACTACTACATCAACCCCGGAATTTTGATGACCATTCAATTAATCAAGTTGAAGTGGAAGAATGGATTGCAGTTTTCATATACTTCTAATAAATTCAGTCGCAAGAAGATCAGATAGTACAATGCACAATTTTCAAGCTACATGGAGACCGGAGAGGTATGTCACTGGTGGAAGTCTGTGAGGCGAACTTAGGGCTCTACAAGAAATCTAACCACTTGGACAAAGTTTAAGAACTTAATCCATGAGAAAAACTTTCCCCAAACTACAAGAGATGAGAATGATATTTAATTTCTAAAGCTAAGTCAAGAAAAGTAGAACAGCTCTAGCATGAGAGGAAGTTTGCCAAAAATAATAACACAAAATTTAAAAGTAAAATAGATTCATCAAAGGACTTAGTGATGACATTAAGTGATCAATAACCATTCAGTGCCAAAAAGCTTATGCAGATGCCCTCTAATCCACCCTAACCACGAGCATAAGTTTTCCGATCAAGCATCAGTCTCACTGGTAGCAGGGATCTTCTCGTAAGAAGAGACAATTACAGCACAATACTCATCACATATGATAATGTAATACTGAGTTGACATTATGTAGATAGCTGCTGCAGCAAAACATGAAGTCTAGATATCACCTCAATCTTGACTATTCCAGGGGAGGCTAAGAGACTCCAAGGATCTCTTTAGTTCTAAGGATGGTGTACTACTAACTAGCAAGTGAATCTATCAGTATGAGTCAAGACACTAGATACGGTAAAGAGTAATGCATTAACTTGGGCAGCTACGGTAATCAAGTGAAACAAAGGTCATTCTCCCTCATTCAACTATTTTCTCGAGAGGGTTGAGATGCTATGATCGTTATCGCATCTACAATTTTGATTCTAGAATAGTTTAGAAAATAAAACTGTCAGAAATTGTATATCCATTCCCCTATATTCACTCAGGATCAGTTTACATACCCTCCTACAGATTTATTTTTGTTAGCAGTCGTAACCTTAGTTCGTTCTCATCAGTTTACAAGCTTGCCCGCTAATTACAATTCAGTAGGAATGGATAATTACCATTCGTCAGATATGTTTCAGAGGAATGACACTAAGGCAGATGATAAACTTTGCATAACTACAAGTGCAAGCGCAGATTCATCAAAGGGACGAGAAAAGATAGAAATGGAAGCATAACCTCAGTTTGGTCACCCAAAATGACGACAATGGCATCAGGAGACAGAGGCTGAACGCTGACCCAACCTTCTTGCGCGTCGAGGACCTGAAGGCCGCCAACATCATCTTGTATTAGCAGAGTGATGACGCCAATGTCGGAATGGGATTGCAGACCGAGGGTCAAATCAGGCTGAGGACATGGAGGGTAATAACTAACAGTAATATTCTGATAAATATCTTCTTCCTCACCCATACCAGTGATGGCGTCCTCCATCCAAGACGAAGGCAGCCCAATACTTTCAGAGATAACCGCTAAGATCCGCTGAGCAAGCAACTTAACGCAATCGCTGTACTGTGCCATAACCTCCCTGTAATTTGGAGGAAAGTGAGGCCAATTAGAAGAATTGCGGCGGGAAAGCGGCAGCGTATGGTGATCGAAGTAATCTCTCCAGTCAAGCACCGATGACTGCGGTTCACCTTCCTTAGCGACGAGCATTTGAGTGCCGTAGCCCTCGGAGGCGAAGGCATTAGGATCGCAGGCATAGACGAGCTTGTCGGAGACGGGACAGTCTCTGAAGAAGGAGAGAGCCGCAGTCCTCGTCTGGTTCAGCAAAGAGGAGGGAATTCCATGGTTGATGACTTGGAATGCTCCCCATTCGCTCGATGCTCGGCCGATGGCGTCTCGAACGGAGTCTCTGTGCTCCGGATCAAAGTTGAAGAGGTCGATCACCGGAATTCTGACGTCGGAAGAGTTGTTGTTGGCGGAGGGACGGTGATGCGGAGGCTGGATGTATTGGGGCGGGACCTGAGACGGCTCTGTTTCGGCTAATTTTTGGACTCTGGTGGCTGCTCCGCCGCCGCCGGGGCTTGTGGATGAATCTAGCGCCATGGTCGATGAATTTCAGCTGAAGAACTGAGTTTAACGACTGATATGCATCGGGGAAATCGTTGAGAACTCGAGTTTTCTTCTTAATCCAATTCTGTAATATTTAAATTGTTCTGTGTTGTTTTTTAGTTAAATTACTAAATTTTTGGTTAATAAGAGGTGTAAATAGAGGTTCATATGGATTTCTCTATAAATAAACAAAAAATTTATTTGGATTTGGGTCAATTTTCTCTTCTTTTACCAAAATAATCGTACGAAAATAAATATATATATATATATATTACTCTTTACCAATAATCACTATTATTAAAATATTTGACAACTCATTATTTGAAAAAGTAGCATATGATTTAGACGTTTGTAATTAAGATATTGAGAATAAAATATAACTGTGTTTGTGTTTGTTGTATATATATATATGAGATTAAAATGACTTGAAATAAATTATATATATGTTTATTTCGTACGTAGTCTAAAAATATGCCTTTTATATTACTATAAACATTTATTAATGACTAATCAAATTTAATTAGAAGAATAAATAATACAAATTAAATTTATTTTAATTTATTAATTACTTTGTATTAGTATTCTGAATTTTAAATTGGTAATTTTTTTTTACTATATTGATAATTTAGCACAATGACCATTGTACAATATGTTATTTAACTAAATTTTAATTCAACCAAATAAATTAGTGATTAAAATTAAATTTAATAAAATGTAACAAAACAATTGTGTATTTTGATTAAAGCTATTTATATTGATTAAAATAAGTGTTTTAAGGAAAAAAAAAGTTTCAAGAGGGATTAAATTAGAATAAATTTTGTTGTTAATATTTTAAAATTGAGCTATTTATCTTCATGTTTTTCTTAAATTTGGTGGTTAATATTTTAAAATTATATTTTACCTAAACAAATTGTTAAAATATTTTAACATAAAAACTAATGAGCCATTGAATTATGATTTTGTTAACATGTGACACATTGTCACGATACGTGAACATGTTGTTGAAAATTAATTTTATTAATCAATAGATTAAAGATTAAATTTTGCTAAGTAGCATTCGATTTCTTGGGCATGTTGTATACTTAGCCTAATTTTTATACAAAGGTTTTATGAAATAAAATAAAAATTTTAAAGTTTGAAAATAAAACTCCATGACGAAACCAAAAATGGATTTAAAAAATAAAAAATGTCCACCGGTTTCTTGTGAAAACCTCGTCCAGTTTGCTGTTTCTGACTGACGGCAACGTTAAATACAAGGGATGGTTACAATGGGCGGGCGCGCGTGGGTTACCTCAGCGTCAACGCTCCGTAACTTCCGTTAGTTTTGACCGTCTAGTTTTGGTCAATATTCCTATCCATCCACCCACCACATTGACCCGACTCTCTGTTTCTTTTTTGTTTATTCAATTGGTAAAGTGAAATATTTTAGTTTTAAATTTTATTAAAGGTATGTCTTACACTCTCAAAATCAATATCACTCAACGATAATCAGTAAAAAGATGTATATCTACATATACATGTCTTAGACTCTTGTTCTAATATTTTTACTAATTAAAAATTAGTATCAATCAATTTAATTTTTAAATTTTCTATATATTTTTTGTTAGGTGATCATTAAAATTCACGAATAATGAACTTATTTAATAAGTGAAGAATTAGATCATTCTAGAAATGAAAAATTTTATGCCAATATATATATATATATATATATATTTTAATTTTGGATGAAAAATTAAAAATTTTATTTTTAAGAAGCATGAGTATACCTCGAATTCATGACCTTCTGATTAGAGACAGATATTTAATCACTTGAACTATGTTCGGTTGGGCTAATTTCAGAAATATTGTTACATCTATAATTATTTTAACCAAAAAATATTTATAGGGCGTATTTGTAAATATTTTACATGATAATTTC